ACGAATGAAAATGTATATTACGAGTTTAGATACGGCGTTAGGTAAGACGTATGTAACATAGTCATTAATTAATCGTATAAAAGAGAGATTGAAAAAACAAAAAAGAAAAAAAAAAAAAGAAAAAAAAATAGAAAGAAAAAAATAGAGAAACAGATGCTAGAGAGAGAGACAGAGAGAGAGAGAGAGAGAGAGAGAGAGAAAAAAACAGTCAGGAGATAATAAAGTAAGACTCGTTCTCTCTCTCTCTCTCTCTCTCTCTCTCCCTCTCACCACTTCTTTCTCTCTCTCCATCTATTCTATCTCTGTCTAATGCAAGTTGATAAAGACGATTCGATTCGTTAATTAGCCGAAAGTAACGCAGGAATCCTTTTCTATCCTATCTTCGCACAGGTAAAAAAGATCACACGGATTTGATTTGGAGGGTTGCGAGGAGTGAGGTCGTTCAACGGTTTTTTTTTTTTTTTTGTTTGGAGAAGAGAAGGGGAGAACTAAGAGATGAAAGAATGAATGAAATACGGAGACAGAGAGAGATATAGAGATATAGAGATATAGAGATATAGAGATAGATAGATAGAGAGATAGATAGATAGAGAGAGAGAGAAAGAGAGAAAGAGAGAGAGAGAGAGAGAAAGAGAGAGATAGAGGAGGTATATTTTCACTTTTGTGTTTTCCGGGTATCTCGAGGGTTCCCGAGGGACCCAGTCGAGGTCGACTGTCTCAGGAGTCTGCCTTCTTCTCTCTAAGCAAAGATACTTCTTCTTCTTCTTCACCTAAGTAACAAGAATGAGAGAGAGAGAGAGAGAGAGAGAGAGAGAAGGAAAAAGAGTGAGAGAGAGAGAGAAAGAGAAAACTAGCGGCTCTTTTGGTATATACACTGGCAAAGACGGTTAGATCGCACGCGAAATACAAAAGAAGCCAATTATAATGACAATGCTCGTACGGTTTAGGCCGACGGCCTGGGCCTGGGAAAGAAATTCGCTCTGCACGTCCGTTTTAACACGTTCACGAAAGAGTGAGAAAGAGATAGAATGAGAAAGAGGGCCAGAAGAGTCGGGAGGGATGGAGGGAGGGAGGGAAGAGAGAAAGAGAGAGAGAGAGAGAAAGAGAAAGATGAAGTCGACTCCGGCTAACTACAGCACTGCCGTCACGCGCCATTGTACCGTAATCGTTCTCGAATAGAACGAACGAAATGTTGCGCGAGTAAAGTAAGTACTTACTTGCATGCATACTTGGCTTGGCTTGGCTCGACTTGGCTTGGCTTGGCTTGGCTTGGCTTGGCTTGGCTTGCCTTGCCTTGCTTACTTACTTGCTTTGGTTTTGATTGATTGATTGATTGCTTAAGTTACTTATGCACTTCTTTTTTTTTTTTCTTTTTTTTTTTTTTTTTTTTTTTTTTTTTTACTTTTATACGAGTAAATCTTTCGACGATTTCTTCATTTCTTTTTCCTTTTTTCTCTTTTCTTTTTCGTTTTTTTATTCGTTTGTTCGTCTGTCCTCCTTCTCTGTATTATCCGTTCTTTAATCGTTGATTATTAAAATACGTCTATTGTGTTGTTTTTTCTTCTTTCTTTTTTTTCTTTTTTTTTTCATTTTGCATCCAATATATCGCAATGTAAAATCTATCGAGCACGTCTTTTTTTTGGGGTTGGGGGGTGAAAGAACAATTTTTCTAACGCATTTGAAATCTTTTTTCTTTTATATTCTTTTCTTTTTTGCTATGAAATTATTCGGAAAAAATTATATATACGTAGGTGCGTGTGTGTGTGTATGTGTGTATAAATATATATATAAAATTTCTAGGATGAAAGAATTTATTTTTTCAAATGAAATGATTCTATAAAAAAAAAAAAAAGGACTAATTCATATGTAATATAAAATTGTTTCATGAAAAAATTCTCCTTTATTTCTTTTTCCTTTTTTTTTCTTTGGTCTTTTTTTTTCTAACGAAATGATTCTAAAAAAAAGGAAAAAAAAATTATATAATAAAAAAATTATATATATATATATATATACACACATATAAAAGTTATAGGTATATAAAATTCCCGACGCGAGGAAAATTTTTTTCTCTCGACGAAACGATTCCAAAAAAAAAAAAAAAAAAAAAAAAGAAACAAAATAAAAAACAAGATGAAAAATAAATTACACATATAATAAAATTGCCGGAATAAAAGAATGGTCTAATCGTCATTTTTATTTTCGTCCTAATAGGTGAGACTTTTTTCTTTTTCATTGATCTCAACTATATTTAATAATATCGAGAAAATTCAATCGCACGAATAATATATTTCTCTTTTTGAATAATGCCATGTCGTAAATATTTTATAGGAATTATTTATTCTCATTTTTAAAGATATTTATTACGTATTTACGTATTTACGTAACTACAGTATTTTAGATTCGTTTTAGAAATTAAAATTAATTAAATAAATTTTCTTTCAAAATCAAACGTCGTACGCGCAAATATCGCCAATTTCGAAGTCGATTAATAAAAATGGCA